CTCTTTTAGGAGGCTCGGTTTTTTCTGGAAGAAGTAAAGGGCATTCTAATGAAATCGTGGGTCAGAAGTCTCCAAGATGCATTTCTTGTAATGTACCAACGATACATGGTCAGGCTGGCACAGATGCTCCTGTCAGTGGTGCAGATGGGTGCCTTGCATACACTGTGGGTTGGGCAAATTAGCTGGAGGGGGCACTCTGGGTCTAGGCGTCACATTCAGTGACTACAGCAAGTTTCAATCTAGCTATAAGCTGTGGCTAGCTGACGAATTCACTCCCATGAGAATTGGTCACTCTCAAAAATATTTGTCTAGTTGCAAAAGTCCTACATCTAAAGACTCTTTCTCTCATAGACGTATCACTTTTGAGTACTGCCGTGGTGGGAAGTCTCGATTTGGAGGAAACGGCATCCGAAGCAGGCAGACGTATCTTGCGACAGGATGCCTACGCAAGATGTCTGATGAGAGGATCCGCATCACGAGATGCAGCATCGACTTTTCACGCGCCAGCCCGATGTTTGAGAGGCTTCACATTCAACCATGTAACCTTTCCTTTGCTTAATTAAACTGATCTGTACGACACCTTAGTCGTCACATGGTGTCAGAAGTCGCCACACACGTGACAGAAGGAGCGCCGGGACACAAGTAGAGCCCATCGAGCGAACGTGAGGCAACCGACCCCCCTGAAGCCAACGCCGACAATTCACGATGGCAGACAACAGACTCCGACCACCGAAGCCTCTGGAGGTTTCATCGCAGTTTCCGGACACGTGGGACGACTGGCTCCAAGTGTACAACTGGTATGCCAGTACAGTTCAGATGCACAAGAAGACGGCGGAGGTCCAGGTCTTAAACTTTATGACGGTAATCGGTCCGGAAGCACAGAGATTCTACAGAACGTTCTCGCTCACCGAAGAAGAAAAGAAAGACGTTGAAGCGGTAAAGCGGAAGTTCAGAGCATTTCACACCGAAAATGAACCTGGCGTATGAGAGGTACAAATTAAACGAAATGGGGCAGGAACGAGAGACCTTCACTGAGTTTTTGACATCAGCAAGACTGTAGGCCAAGAAATGCCAATACAGTGATTTGACGGATGAACTCCTACATTGTGGGTATAGCAAATGACGACGTCTCAGAAAAACTACTCCGAGATCCGGCAATCAACCTGGAGAAGACTATCCACATATGCAAAGCCAGCAAGCAAGCTATGCAACAGCTGAAAAAAATCACTGCGAAGGAAACAGACAAAGCTGGACACAACAGCTTGCCACCGTTTTACTGGTTCCCGACATGCCACATTTTAGTCAAAAGTAAGCAAACGTAAAACCAATGGATTCCAAGTGTCCCAGCTGGTGCCTCTGTCGTGCAATCATGCTCCCATGCACATGAGGGCAACTTCGGCAGGCCTGCAGTTGCGCGTGCTTTGTCACCTGAGTGGAGACAACGACTGTTAGGTTGAAACCGAAACCATGCCACTCCTCTCCGTCAGCAATTGATTCCCAAAATTGTATGCTAAATGTAACTTTCGAGCATACGACAAAAAACAGTCTAGCGGCACGTGCTTGCTAGGCCGGCAAACAAGGTACAAGCTAAACACACACAAAAAAAATCTGAGCGCATTAATACAAGACATTGCGAGCCAGGAACAAAAAGATCTTGGAGAGCTTTGTGCAACGACTGAACTCGAGACAAACAAGCGCGCTGTGCGGGTTTAGCGTGCAGACATTGCCTTTTTTGCTCTAGATCATTTCTCTTCACCAACTTTCTTTCACGGCATATTTTTTACGTACCGGGGTCCCCCTCGAAAGGGGGCGCACTGACAGAAACCTAGGTAATCAATACTTCGACCCAGCAATCTTTAGGTCAAAGAAGAATTTTTTTTAATAACATATAATTTAAACAAGGACAGAAACGTTGATGAACAAGCGGTGGTACCTAGTTTCATTTTAGAAAGTGCCATATCTGCATCGACGTGGGGACGGCAACACCCGACGTCGCGCGACCACGGTGACTGGAAGGCAGGGACCAAATATAGTTTTCCCACGGCCGTTGCTTTCTGGAGCGAGTGCTTCAGTTCACAAAGTAACTCCGCCACGTAAAAACGTGGTTTCGTTTCACAGTATGACGGCATGGCTGGTACCCGGCACGCTAGCATCAGAGCGTCCGCACACACCCGCATCTATCGTTGAAAATATTTAAAAAAAAGACGTGAGACGAGACCCACGAGGCGACAGGAGCGCGAAACGGCGGGAGAACCATGCAAGACCGGATGGGCAATGAATGCAAAGTACTTTGTGTCGGGCGACCGTGTGCGCCACATAACACACGCATTCTCAATTACGATGCTCAGTTTAGTTTCAGTTTTGAAAGGCGACCGAAATTGTTTTTTTGGCGCAGGCTTGGCACAGATTACTCATATTTTGGCAAAATGTAGCAGGATGTAACAGGGTTAGCCCCTTGGCGCAGTTTGGCGCAATTGGCGCAGCAATCACATCACTGTAATACGGCTCCTGACGACACACCCAGCGAATCGCCGGGTGTGTCGTCAGGAGCCAAAAACTTCCTAAAACTGCATTCTTTTGAAAACGGCGATGGCTGTTGTTCTTCTGCATCTACCAAGCTTCTAATTTCGTGGATAAATATTCGAGCTATAAATCAATTTATAATGTCTATGCGGGCTGAATGTGTATTTTTGGACTCATTGAAAATTTGCAGGAGGGATATCTCAGCATCTACAGCAGTCAGAAATATAACCTTGCTTGAAATGTGTTGCTAAATGTGTGAAGCATACAATGTTGAGAGCAGATTTTTTAATATAAGTCTAGAAAATTTTTTATTTGATCTTTTGTTTTATTACTTCTTAGGCATGCATTGAGCACTGAACTTCAATATATTGTAAAATTGCTAATAATGGGTTTATCTTAAAAGTACTTCCAACATTGTATTCTTTACACTTCGTAGTATCTGGCCATGTGTTAGAAAGGATATTTTGTTGAGCAGTTTTTTCCCTATCATTCCTCCAAACAAAGGCAGGCAAGTTTTAATTATCTTCAGGACAATTCTACTGAATGAAGAAATTACCAGATATATGAAATCAGCACAAAAAGCTGAACAAGCTTGTGCAGTTTCATTGAGTTTGGTCATAAAATAAGAAAAAAAGCTCCAAGACAAGTATTCCCTCTTAAAGCAAATGGAAGATTTAGTTGAAGTGTCCTGGTTGGACTGTAACGATAGAAAAAAATTCCAGCAATCAGCTCTTGTTTGTAGTATTTCAGTCTACCTTAATGAGGCAGTTCACAAAACATTTTCCAGAGGTATTATTTTTTTATGACACATATTGTAATGCAACGGTGATGGATAAGGATCTTAATGAAATCAATATTCTTGCGCAGCTGCTACCAAATTGAACAATTCTGCTATGCTCTTGGCACGTGGATAAGTATCAGCACCAAAGACTTTTGGAACTTCGTTATGGCAGAGTCGACAAGCAAGCCGTTAAGTCTCTCGTACCAAAACTAGTTTTCTCTTATGATGACAATATATACCAGGAACTCCTGGAAGAGCTTGAAAATGAACTGCAAAAAGAGCTTGAAAGTGAAAAGCAAAAAAAACTCAGCTTTCTTGAGTTTTATTATAAGAATTGGCACAACTGTGGGCAGATGTGAATGCATGCATACCGTCATAACATCTATACATTTGGGAATAACACTAACAACAGAATGGAAAGCCACAATCAAAAGATAAAGCAGTTTATGCACCAGCGTATGCATTTATTGATGATGTCAAAGCCTTGGTTCAATATGTAAACCATGATACTTTATCTGTTAGCTTTGCACAGTTCCAAGAAACCATGCTGTGCCTTGACCCACAAAAAATTGATGCATTTCGTATTAAGGTATCTACTACCCGCCCAGGATATCCTAGCAACCTAATTTATAAGGAGTATGAAGCTTATTCAAATGGAAATTTTGCATATTGTCTGAGTAATGGACAGCATACAGTCAATAGTCAGACCAATTGTTACATTTTTTCACAAGATTTAATTAGATGTACATGCACATTCCAGAATCAGTTCAGGCTTCCTTGTAGACATCTTAGCTGGTAGATATAATCTTCCAGTGGATCTTTTGTATCTCAAATGTGTTGCATTTTGGTGGTTAAAATCTGGCTTTGTTGAGACTGATGTAGATGCTGCTCAGGCAATAGAGCAAAAAATTACTTTGAATGTATCAACGATAGGAAATCCCAAACTCGACACGATGGAATCAAAGTATAATTACGCTTTCAGTGAGCTCTCAGAATCATGCAAGAGCATAGCAAACACTTTGGCTGGCTGTGGTCAATATGAGGTGCTGAAAAAGTTATCTGAAATAAAAGTTTTCTTAATAACCTCATGACCTATCCTAGAAATCAGACTTCCAAAACAGTATTCAATCAAGATAAACCACAGGATGTGAAGCAGGCTCATTGCAAAGATGAAGACCAGCTAAACATAGAAGGGGCATATGGTAGTAAGGATGTCATTGTAGAGAGCCTTGCCAGTATTCCAAGCATTAAAAGGGAGGAAATTCACAATTTGAGCACTATGAGCATATGCGATTAAACCAGCATTTTCTGGACCACGATTAATGCGAAAGTTTAGACATTAATACAAGCTCTTTGTACATAATTACTCTCTCTCCAAAACCAAGATTTCAAAATGAAAAAAAAAAAAATGCTGAATTTTCACATATTGTTGTAGATCTGACCTGTGATGAAGTACTGGATAAAGACATCTTGATTGTTCTATTGAATAAGAATAAGAACCGAGGGACGGAGTAAAAGCATTGGTGGCAGCAAAAATTGAGTACTGCCACAGGTGCACCGAGAAGAAAATCCGAGAAGACAGTAAAACATTCAGCAAAAAATATTGGCCATTTATTCGCTCCATGCAACCGAAAACACGGCCGGACGGACAAGAGCCCATATTAGAAACGCAGGGACAAATTCTGAAGGTGCAAAGATGACAGTCATGAAAATTATAATTTTCTTGACTATCACCTGTGCAGGTTGCGTGAAGCATCCCGTGATCACCAGTGTGATGGACGATTGCACCAAGCTTGGAATGGTTGCCAGCCTGACAAAAGCCGCAGCAACCAAGCAAGCAGTCGTGGTGTCAAGGGGCCTTCACCACTCCTCAATGTGCCTGGTTTTGACATAGTCTGGAGATTTAACAAATATGCACTGCGCCCTTCCCGGAGGAGCGCGTCAGTTTGCCGAGTTGTGGTTTTCCGGTGTGGGCGAGGATTTCCACGTTGGACACCGTGGCAGTCTGTTGTAAGCGAGCAGTTGTGTGGCCTCAAGCTGCCACAGTGCTTAAACAGACTGCCGCAAGCCCTAAAGCTAAGAAAGTACTGCAAAGCCGCTGAATGGCAGTGCTGGCTGTTCTATTACTGACTCCCTCGTGTGAAGGGGATACTGCCAGATCTATATTACGAGCACTTCGAGCTCTTCATGTCCGCTTGATATATTCTAAGACAGAAGTAGTAGATGAAGATGTCAATCTGAGCACAGAAAAGGTGACAGAGTTCGTCGTGCAGACTAATTTCTTGTACGGTAAGGTACACATGACTTCAAATGTGCACACGCTCCTGCACCTTTCGAAGGCCGTGCTCCTCCAGGGCCATTATGACCGCTATCTTGCTTTTCAGTTTGACGTAAGGCATTTGTCGAAGCATGTATGGTGTGCCCTTCCAGACACTGTTTCGCATTCTCCTCCGCAAGAGCCTTTCTGAGCTTAGGGATATGGTTTCAGACAAGGTCCAAGAACATCTTAAGGAGAGGAAACAACAAGCCAGGTGACTTGCACCTTCATGGAAAGCCCAAGCAACTGCACCAGTGTATGTTTGGACTTGTTGAGGCAGACACTGGAGTTGAAAGTGACACAGAAGCTTGTGGAGTATGACTGCGTGTGTGTCGCTGGGCATACGTTTCACAGCACACAGTACCGAGCTACAACAAAACGGGACCCAACAGCCCTTGAGCTGGGAGATGAGCATACAAGAGTAGAACATATCCTCTCTGCAAGTGACGAAGATGGGAGCCAGAATGTGTACTTGTTTCATACGTCTATGACGTGTCTGATCTCAAACATGACACACCTCAAGCTTGCCCATAAGCAGCCCACCAAGGTCTTGCACAAGCTCTGAAAGCGTGTAAACTCATGTATGTAGTTGGGACGCAGATGGTACTATTCTATTTGCTCGGTTCTGCAACAATCATGAGTGGTCTTAGATTTCTAGAGCCAGTCATAGTTGTATGCAAGAAGTAAACTCAAGAGGAGACAAATAAAAAAAAGGTAAAATTAACTTTTTTTTTCTTCTTCATTGCGCACATACTTAATGTGTCTTGACCCTGAAAGAAGGCTGGATGACAACAAAGAAGTGTTTGATTACCGGCTTTCCAGGGTCTGCCAATGTGTTGAGAACGCAATTGGCGTTTTAGCCTCCGGCTGGCGTTTGTTCCTTAGAACGGTCGGTCGAAGGTGACGTCAAACTTGTCACAGACATGATTAAGGCAGCCGTCTGTTTCCATAACTTCCTCATGGCTGACAATGCATACTGTCCCAATGATTATGGTGACAAGCCACAGGGGCAGGCAGTGCAGGTAGTTCAGTGGAGGCAGACTGTATCGCAAATCGGCCCTTGCAATGCAGTGACTGGCAAGCGCCCTGCTCAAGCAGCCATAGTTATGAGGGATACGATCTCAGACTACTTCATGTCTGCAGAAGTTTTTCTGCCACGGCAGCTGGAAGTTGTCAGGTGTAGCTGATACATGACCTGTGTCACCATTTCTCTTTGCAAACAGAATGTGACACCATTTTCCGCTTCCCTGCTCTAAACTGTTCCATTTCGGCACATTGCACTACATGTGCCAGTCTTGTTAACTACTTGAGAGCCACTTGTATGTGAAAATTTTTTTGCTTGCCTTCTATGTCAGTCATATTTTGTGTGCTGGGAGTGTTCATTCCTGAACCTAGTTTGTTCATTGTTTTTGCACATATATTTTCTGCAGCAGAATAAATGGTGAAAGACATTGCATGTCAGCCCTATCTCCTGTAACTTCAAGATGGAGGTGCTACATTACTTCTATGCAACGTTATTCCTGTCCTTTAGAAACAATAAACCTATAAAAACGCACTTCTTACTGCTTGGATACAACAGACATGTCTCGCTGTTAGTGACAAGACGTCACCGACAGCGAGGCAAGCCTAACCGGTGCACCTCCACTGGACGTCATTGGTAGCGTGACTGGTAGGGTTGGTCCTTCATGCCTGCATAATGGTTTTTGTATCAAAACTGAAGATGCCAGACAGCCAAAGCAGACCCAAGAGTACAACCAGCAGCAGATCGCACAGCCAAAATCAAAGATTAGAGAATCGTAAAAAATGACGTGTCCACAACAAAGGCTGATAAGCCGGTTAAAAGCTGAAGTAAATTCCCCAGGACAGGCATCCTCACGAAACAAGGTGTTTGAAAAACATGTTCAAGAAAACCCGTCACATGATTTTCTGCCAAGTCAGTAGAAACTACTGCAGAAAAAACCGAAGGGCCATCGATACACTGAGTATGACAAGAACTTTGCAATGGCTCTGCACTATTGTTCTCATAAAGCTTATAGTTTCCTTTGCAAGACATCCCGTTTGCCAACTGTAAGGTCCCTATGTAAGTAGCTGGGTGCTCTTGACGTACGCCCAGGTCTAAATGAGAGTGTCTTGAGGATCCTTGAAATTAAAGGGGCGGTGCAATGATTTTCAGATTGAAAGAATTTGTCTCTTGTAACTTTTACCTTGTTTATCGTGTCCCGGAGGACAGAGAAACTATCTCTTTCCTTCGAAATGTTATGATTCCGCCGCGTAATCGCACAGCGAAAATCGTTGTTCTACCCCCATCTACAGCCACGAGCGGCAGCTGAAGGAACCACGGAGTGACGTCGTTCGGCAGCACGCTGTAGCATGACACCCACTGTTGTCAGCGGAGAGTTAGTGAAAAAGATTTCAAAATAAATCTAAGTTGTGCAATTACAAGCAAAATATAAGGATTACTTTTGATAAATTTTACCGCTTCAGTGTAAATAAATGCGTCTAAGTAGAGTATTATCAAAGAAAATTTAGTCTTCCGAGTTTCAGTGGCGCCATCTACTCGGGTTCCACAAAAACCGTCCATGTGTGGACTTCCAGGCGTGGCCGCACTATCTTTTCCTGGTGTCTCGTGTTCGACTTCGGCCCCACGGCACCCACGGTGCCTCGATCACATCGACGATGCCGAGCGCGTGCGGTGTTCCGCATTGTCCCAACCGGTGTCTAACCGCTGCTATGATCAAATTCAAAAACATTCAGTTCCATCGTTTGCCGGGTGAGGAACCCGGCAAACGATGCATCTGGGTCTGGAGTCGGGCTAGGGCTAGGGCTGGGCGCAAGCGAGTCCTCTTCGCTGCAGGATACCCTCCAACGCCTCGACGGCGTGTCCGCGTAGGGAACAACCCCCATCGACTGACTAAAATTGAGCATACCGCGCTGCACATCGCTCAGGCTATCCCGCCAGGCCGCCATGTTCTTCGCGATATACGTAGATACGAGATTCAGATACCAGAGCCACTCCACGGACAACTGCAAAACCGGAAACTCCGATACTGCCCCGTTACGTCATTGAGCACGTGACCCGGAAGCCGGTGGATGAGTTGAGGGTGTTCGAGCGGTGCCAGAAACTCCAATATTTCGTTTTTTTTACATAAAATTTAGGACATGCAAACGAAATCGGTTTTCAGATCTTTAGTTTAGAAGTCTCTGAGAACAACTCTCATAAGCCTCATAACTATTTGACCAAAGTCAGGAAACCATTGCACAGACCCTTTAAGGCATATAGCTTGCCAGTAGCAGAGAAACTTGCCTCTGTTGTGATTGACGAAATTGCCTTGAAGAAGCACATCAGCTATGATGCAAGGAGTGACTTGTTCGAAGGTTTCGTAGCGGGTGCCAGCAAGCTTGACCATGCAACCCAAGTGCTTCTTGAGATGGACGGAGAAAAAATCTTCCTGCATGATCCTGCTCCTATCAAATCCGCTAGAAACAATCTGGTAAGCATACAATGATGTCATGCCTGCGGAAGTTTATTATAACATTTGCTTTTTGTAATCCAGGAATCTTTGACGAGGCATTTTCCGCTCTTGCAACGATAGTTTCTATGTTCCAAGCTGAAGAGCGGTGTGCAGCATTGCCAACGCACGTAACATTGTCTGCTTTGCGGATACGAATCTTCTTTTTTGCCGCACCGTTTATGGAGTTTCACCGATTCGATTTTCAAAGGTTTTCGAGTTCATTCCATGACAGACGTGCACTACTATCGATCGTTTGTTCACTCCAGTAGCCTCTTCGCTCGCGCTTCCAGTCACTTACATGAATGCACTTTTATTTTAAAGGTGTGCGAGCTTCACTTCCCGGATGCTGAAGAGCTCCGAAAGAATTCCAGCGTCGAAAATACTACCAGGCACGCATCCGTGCTAGAGTAGTTTCGTGGAAGTTCCCAGGATGCCCGATAAGCTTATCAACTGTGCACACCACAAGTAAATACCCAAACTCAAAGAGAAGTATGTGGATGCCGTTGCTGTGCAGGACGTGGTTACAGAATTGTTCTTTGGTTGCTCCTAAATCTGGTTTGGTTGTGCCTATGTGCTTGTCTGTGATATTATTTGCTTGCTCAAGCCTCGTGGAATACATGCTATGGACACCTGCAAGTTTTTTTAAAGGTAAGAAATACCCCATTTACTACTCCAGCTTCCCACGTGAATGCTTGAAGCTGTTAGACATTAATATACTATGTTTAAGTTTACATATCATTTTTTTTCGATTATCAGCACTGTTGTTCAGATTCACTTTGGAAACAAATTTTAAAACTTGTGTAGCATTAAAGGTGACGCACACCAAGTATTTGTGAGAAAAACATTGACTGTTTTTGTCAGCGCTAAGAGATAACTTACAACTGCTTAGGTTTTTTTCAATTTGTTTGTTGTG